CAGTAAATAGAAAAGAGATGGTAATTACAAAATTACCAAAACATATTTGATATAGGTTACAAAAAGAGAGGATTACCACAAATAGCCTAAGCAGGATGATCAGTAATTAAAATAATCATAACACCCCAAATTGTAAAGATTATGCCAAGAATATACCCATGCCGTTGGTATAATTGGAGGCACCTGAGTTCTTTGTTCTCTGGAACAGCTTTGGTGAAATGAGTGATAACTTAGGCACACTGGGTTAAAACAAATATTAATATTGATAATAACACACATTAAGAATACACAACATAAAACACACTCTACTACTGTATTACAGACTAGGCATCTTCGCGGCCTACTTTACATCCTAAACAACCAGAAACACCCCAGACTGCTACCAAGTATTCAAAGATCCAATACAACACCTACCTGTACCTGTGCACTGGCCAACAAGAGAGATAAACCTGCCTACCAACTAAATGGAATACAACTTACATTTAAATCTCTCTCTATACAGTATAGAAATCTGGACGCTACAACGTGCATGGTAAAGCTATCTCCCTGTTCTTAAAATGCATCCACAATCCAGGAGAGGCCGTTTTTAACCAAGGAATTCTCCATCTAGGAAATAAGAGTTTCCGAAAAAAATCAGAATGGTAGACTCTCTTATAAAAGTTCAAATACTGAACTGGAATCTGCTCTTAAAGGCTGATCGGAACAAGGAACTCTCACCTGTCTCTTCTTTCTCCTTGTGTCTTTCTGCCCATCCCATGTCCTGTTTTCTGCCTCCTCTTCTCTTTCCTTTCTGTGTCTGTCTTTTTATCTTGTTTTGTGTTCCTGGAGTGTTAATTACTCTTAATCATTTACCAAGAACTCAATAAACCAAGGTAAACCAAAAGATTCCTTTGTTCAATCAGACCCAATAAGCTAAACATTTAGCTTAGATGTTATTATCTCAGTTTTTGCTTTGTAGCTCCAAAGACCTGCAAATGTTTAGCTTTGACTTTGGTGTCAAATATAAACCAAATCTGCTTTGCTCTGGGAAGGGCTGAGTTTGAAATGGTGAAAACTGCTCTTTTCAAAATATGAAAATCCTTCCGACCCCAGAAGAAGGCAGGTCATTATTGACCTGTTTATAATAATAATAAAA